ATTCTGTTCAAGCCTATCTGGTATGGCCTCTGTTAATCAGAGGATCATGTTACCTTTGTGCGAGGGGTTCTAGTGTTAACAAGCACTTAAACACTTATACCTAACAAAGTAGCTGATGAGTGGATTTTTGATGGTATGTAATAACTATGGTCATCGATGTTTTCAGTTTTGTAGTCTAACAAATCAATATGTATGGAAAAGTTTGCTTCCTTACAGTTAGCATCTGCTTTGGCAAGGCCTGCAGTGCTGGCTGATGACTGCAGGTCCAACTAATTTTGTAGAAGGAACAAGTAAAATTAACATTTTTGCTGTCATTGGACCTATGAAGAAAATTGTCATTTAAGGTCACTTAACACTGAACACTGCGCCACTGCGACATCCAGCATTCGTTCTCTATAACAACAAGACTTTTTATCCAGGCTATCTGCTAGATTTAACCCAGATTACTGCTTAACATCAAGTCTAAAAAACCTCTATTACCTTTTTTTTTCATTCAGAAAATGGAAGACGAAATTGTTGCCGTTGTCATAGATAATGGGTCCGGTATGTGCAAAGTTGGCTTTGCAGGAAATGATGCTCCACATGCTGTGTTCCCCTCCATTGCTGGACGCCCCAGACATCAGGTATTCCATTACATATTCCTCAAGAGTACTTTATAAACCTCAAATACCCTGTAAATTTTGTAACAATTGTTTTTTTCTTTGTTGCCCAGGGTGTAATGATTGGTATGAGCCACAAAGACAGCTTTGTGGGTGACGAGGCACAGAACAAAAGAGGAATCCTGACTCTCAAGTACCCCATTGAGCACGGTATTGTTACCAACTGGGATGACATGGAGATGCTCTGGCATCACATGTTTTACAATGAGCTGAGAGTTTCCCCTGAGGACCACCCAGTCCTCCTCACAGAGGCCCCCCTGAACCCCAAGATAAACAGGGAAAGGATGGCACAGGTAATGAGGGCTGACACCAGTTTCCTCCTACTCCTTCAACCTACCTTAAACTTTTTTTTTTTTTTTTTGCCTTTGCAGATGCTTTGGGTTTCTATCTTTGCACTGTGATGCATCAGAAATGATGAGCTGCAGCATGGGCGCTGCTGTTTATAAATTAGACTCATCAGACTTAAGCTGAAGTAGAAAACAAATGTTGAACTACACTGGTGTCTGCGTGAAGTAACTGTTAATAGCAGTGCAAATTACTGCACTCAGACTTATACAGTCAGTATAGCAAAAGAGTCATTTTATTACAGTATTCATGCTGTTGTTTCTGTATGACTAAACACATATGGTACATTTCATCTCAGACCACATTTTCTATTCAACCATCTCCTATGATGAATTTTATGATTTTAGATTTTATGGTTCAAAAATTAGATTTATTTATATGATTGTTGTGAAAATTTATCTTCATATATCAACTACTTTTCAAGTTGCACTACCTGTCAAAAGAACGCGCCAATTTTTCCAGTTTTTTATTGAAAATTATGTAGTTTAATGTCTCATTGCACTCTGAAATGAAAGCTACAAATAAGCAATTGCAGTTAAAAAATAAATCATGGAATCAATATATAGACCAAAATGTATTCTTAACTTTTGACTTATCAAAGTAGCCACCTTTAGCAGATATAGCAGCTGAACATGTGGCATTCTTTCGAAACAGAAATCAAATACTGTTCACAAAGTTCTTCCCATATCTTTTGCAAAAGTACCGATAAATGTGTGGCACCTGTAGGTGGCTTTGCTTTCACTCTTCGGTCCAGTTTATCTCAAACCAGCTCAAGAGGGTTTAAGTCTGGAGACTGTGCTGGAGACCATGTTTTCAAGCTCAGCATCTTGTTCTTTTTTCCTGAGGGAGTTCTGGCATAGCTTGGACTTAAGCTTACTGTAGCTTACTTATGCTTACTGTAGGATGAACCCATGACCAACTAGGTGCATAGCAGAAGGTATTGCATAGTGCTACAGAATGCTGTGGTAGTCATTTTGGTTAGGATGCCTCTTAGTCTATACAAGTCATCAACCCTGGATCCAGCTAAAAAGCCCCAGAACATCCCACTTCCTCCTCCATGTTTGACAGTTGATGCCACACACTGTGGAATCATCCTTTCACCTACTCAACGATGTACAAAGATTCTGTGTGATGAACCAAAGATTTCAAATTTTGATTCAGTCAATAATACCTTCTTCCAGTCTTCAGTAGTCCAATGGTGGTGTTTCATGGCCCAGGCAAGCCTCTTTTGTCTTATTCTGATGTCTTAGCAGTGGCTTTCTTGCTGCAATTCATCCTATCAAACCTGCAGCTCAGTCTTCTCTTCAAAGTTGAAACTGAGACTTGCTTACTATGATGACTATTGAGCTGTGATTGAAGCTGTTGTCCTGTGAGCTGCCTATCATACAAGCTGTGAACTCTCAGAAACGTATCCTCTCACTCAGTTTCGGCTTTGAGTCTGCCAGACCTCTTCCTGTCAGAAATTGCCAACGTTTCTGAGTGCCTTTTGATGGTGAAGACTTTGCGGTCTACATGGCCGGGTTCTCCAAAAACCTAGAAGGCCGGAAGTGCGAGGCTGTGAAATGGGACGGTCTAGCCTTCAGATCTGTGTCACGGCTGTCCCGGTGGAGTTTCCTTGTTATCTAAAATATAACAGGACACTGGAGTAAATTCTCTGCCATCTCACACTTTTGTGTAATCAGTTTTCTGTTTGACATTTATTCAGCTGTGTGAAAACTATAACTTTAATCTCAGCCAAACCAATTTACTCAGGAACAAATAAAACGCTGAAAAAAACCCCAAACAATAACAAGTTATCTAAGTGACTTGTATATCATGTATAATCTGAGTAGCGATAGACAGCGCAGGATCTGAAAACGATGTTCCAGGAGTCCAGTGTTCTTGCTGGCTCTAGTGAGCCTTGATCACCTGGTCAGCTATCGAGCTGGTGCAACAGACATCTCCGAATTCATCATAGCACTTTTATAAATATGTGACTTTCTGATAAACCGAGCCGATATTTGAAGTTGCCACACATACATTCTCACCTGAAAATATGTTAAAATTTTGTGACCCAGAAAGAGTAATTTTTCAAACTCTTTAGCCGCGCTCCTCCGCCATTGCAATGTTTGAAAAGTATTTTTTAATATTATAAAAATATTATAAATAGTAATTTAATTAATAAAGTATTGAAAAGAGTAATAAGAGCAATATTACAACTAAGTAGCTGTCACCATTGTTGGAAACTGGAATTGACTGGGCTGCACTTTGAATTCTGGGCCATGAAGGATACACCTGACCCATCCTTTAAATTCGGGGAGATGAAGGACACATTTCTCATTTAGAGCAGTCTTCGAATTGGGACAGCCTTCATCGCTGTGACGTAATCGGCCTTTAAATGGGGTCTCTGAAGGATGCAGCCCTTGAATTGAGACACAGCTTTTGACTTTCTTTTCAATTTCTCTGTAGGAAAGACCTGCATTTTTAAGTGTGTTGATGGTCTTTATTCTATTGTTAATTGTCTTTTTCTCATCATTTTTGTAGTAACACACTACTTTCTGCAGTACAGTACTGTTCAGCTGATGCTAACGAGGGTATGGTACCTTTGTTTTGTTTTGTTTTGTTTTGTTTGTAAGTAATCCGGAAAAGTTGGAACACCTGTAAGAATTAGTAGCACCAGCTTTCAAGGCTTGATCAACCTCCATTGCTGCAAACTGTCATGGTTGGTGCTGTGTGGCAGGCAGGATGTAGGACCCAAACGCAGGACACTCAGATGGAGGAATAAACTCAAAACGACAGCCTTTATTGCTGGGAAACATTAAACACACACACTAAACATTAAATACAAAACTAAACTGGAAAAAAGAAACTTCAACTAGAAACCAAAACCAAAACCTTGAACATTAAAACTAGGACCAAACTGGACTCAAGAAACTAAGAAACATGAACTAGGGAAACGTCCCAGGAACTTAAACTAAATCAGAAACATGAGAGAAACACAGCAGTGAGAATGTACAACATGACACAGAACACGGAAAACAAAGAGCTTAAATACAAGAGGCAGAAACGGGGGAATAGGAAACAGGAGGGAACACAGCTGAGCCTAATCAGACATAACAAGACCAAAGGGATGCAAAACATTAACAAAGGGCACAGACTGTCAAAGTAAAAGAGGAAACATTAGACAATTCACAAAGATGCAGACTAGACAGTAAGATGTGGAAACATGACAGACCTGGAAACAGAGGAAACATGAAGCACAGAGACAAAAACTAACCAGACGTGGAACACAGAGAAGGTACAGAAAACTGAAACTAGAAGCTAGAAAAAAGCAACAAATTTAACATGAACAGAAAACCATCAAGACAACTCAAAACCATGAATAACATAAATCATGGAATATAAATTAAACACAAAACACAAACCACTAGGTCTCTGACCCAGTGCAGGGAAACAAAAAGCTTTAAATCATTAACCCATTTTGTGTTCCCTGAAAAAGGCCTTTTTGGGTAATTCTGAAATGTACATAATTATTCAGTTTTGGATAACCTTAGCTTTTCTTTTTCTTTTTTCTTTTTTTACCCCTGGCAGTTCAATACTTAAATTTGTACCATTTCAAGCTATTCAGTTCAAATCAATTCAGTTCAATTCAACAAAACTATTGATCTCAAAGATTGGCCCCGAAGGAAATTGGGTTAAGGCTGCC